ATAAATGCACCTGACAGCCGGCATAAACCAGGACTGTCCCTGGTAAATCAGGATCTACGTCACTTAGTTACAAACATCCCCCACCCCCACCCCAAGGTGAGTCATGTCAGAATAAAAGCATGAACAGTAAGATTCTGAAATGTAGCCAGACTTCTGTGTTGAGGTCGGTGGCATCACGGTCGGACGAAGGAAAGGTGGAGAGTGGCAGACTGGGCAGCCCCGGGAGGCTATTGTGTGGTGAGCTGGAGGGGGCAGCTTCAGGCAGCAGGGACGGAAGAAATGCTCCCAGGTTTCTCTGAAGTGGAGTATCAAACATGGGCCTGAGCTGTTTTCTGCTGCGAAGCCACAGTACCGGACGCACCAGCCTGGTGCGTCAAGTGTAGAGATGAGTGACTGTGAATAAAAGCTTCAGGCCAATGTCAAGTCTACCAAATAGAGTTGCAAACAGCTCCCGGTTCTGCAAGCAGAGGCTACAGACATAAATCAAAGAGCAATCTTCGAACATCGGCGGTGTGGGCAGGACTGGGCCACTTGTCACGCTTCGGTGTTCTCCGCCGCAGTTTCGCACAGAGAGAGTAAGTAGAGTTAGGGGTGTCATCTGAGAGTTACGGGGGGCAAGGCGGAGCTTGTCGATGCGGTGAATGGCGAGGACCACATGCACCCATGTCAGGGGCACAATTTACCTCTCACCATTTGTATTTACTCTCGGAATTGTGGAGAGCTGCTTAAAAATATTTTCCCTTCGAGGTGTTCCTTCTCAGGATTTATATGACATGCCTTATTTCCTTATCTCCAGCACCTGTTTAGGAAAGTGTATCACAGCCTTGTGTTTCTGCCAGGGGAAGAAGCCTAAGGAGACTTTACAAAAGGGATTCCCGGGGGATAAATCAGTGTTCACAAGAATCACATATTGTTAGGATGGTTCTGAATTCTAAATAATGTAATCTGGAAGCATTTGAAGGCATGGGGGTGGGGTGGGGCTCGGATTGGTCCCCTCCTGGGAAAGATTGCGTTGTAACACTGAAGACGGGAATCAAAAGCAGTTGGTAACAGACCTTGCCGTCAACTCCGTTCTGTCAAGTCCTGGGCCAGGAATGTCGCCCGGTGGTGAGTATGGCCTTCCTCCCATGACTGGACAGCTGGCTTCAGAACTGAAGTGTCATTGGCTCTTCTGACGTGTCTGACACGGACTTTACCTGTTCCAATAAAGGGGTTCTTTTTGCTATTTCCTTACTTACGAAAGAACTGAAATAGAAACTTTCCACGTGAGGGCAAGAATCACAAGAGATATTTATATGCCCTAAACATATTTTTTGGCTTAAAAAAAAAAAAAAACAACATGTAACTGCTCCTCAAGGAAGTGGTGTCAGGTGTTGTCATTCATTGGTTTTATGTTTTGCAAGAACGTGGACAGAATGGGCCTAAGCCTCTCTTTCACTGATGGTAAATCCAGTTCGTTATATGTTATGCATCTCTTTTTTTTTTTTTTTTAAGATTTTATTTAGGGACGCCTGGGTGGCTCAGTCGGTTAAGCGTCTGCCTTCAGTTCAGGTCATGATCCCAGGGTCCTGGGATTGAGTCCCGCATCGGGCTCCCTGCTCCGCGGGGAGCCTGCTTCTCCCTCTGCCTCTGCCTCTCTATCTCTCATGAATAAATAAATAAAGTTTTTTTAAAAAAAGATTTTATTTATTTATTTGAGAGAGAGAGATGAGAGAAAGCACACGAGAGGGGTTAGGGTCAGAGGGAGAAGCAGACTCCCTGCTGAGCAGGGAGCCCGATGCAGGACTCGATCCTGGGGCTCCAGGATCATGACCTGAGCCGAAGGCAGTCGCTTAACCAACTGAGCCACCCAGGCACCCGTAATGCATCTCTTTATAAAGTTTTATATTACCAATTCACAAAATAATTCTGGAACTTACATTATTCACTGAGGCCTCATATAATGAGCACATTTAAAAAGTCATGTGATCATATTCATATTTTTTAACTAAATAGCAGTAGACATAGAAGCTAATCCATTGTTATTAGCATGGCATTAATTCATTTTGGAACAAAGTGTAAATCCCATCATTAGTTCACAATTGCTTTTCAGCATTTGTTAATAAGCATGTATCACCTTTCCTCAGTACATACATAAGGGTATAAAAAATTACGTTCTAACTTCTGGCAAAACTATTTCTTATTAGGGAGAAGCAGCAATTCCTGAGGCCGGATTAACTTTATGCTATTTTCCCTTTCATTCTGATAAAAGGGTAAGTCAGAACTGTACTGTTTAATGTCTGAATCATGTTATTTCCAAGAAAGAGAATCTTCTTGATAATCCTTCAGTTCCTCTTTGCCAAACAAACATACGAACATATGTAATTTTCTATTTTTTGCAATAGTAATGGTGGTTTTTCAAGTAAGTGGAGTCCCAACCTTCGGGGGGACTGGGAATGCCTCCTGAAATGTGCTTATTGGCAGTGTTCTGCACTTCTGCTAAGAAGTTCGATTCTCTGGGCTTCATTTTACTCTTGTTTGGATGTTTCCTATTTGCACACACTTAATTGCTTGACAGTTTGAGGTTTTAATGTTGCCTTTAATGTCTCAGGCTTCTCTGAAATTTTTTTGCTAATTTTAATTTTTTGTATTACATCCTTTTGCTCAAAGGTAAGATTAGATGCAAGAGATAAGCCCCTCTGAGATTGGGAAACCAATCTTTGTCGATTGTGGGTGTTACACTAAAATGATGCGGTCTCCAGGCTTTCTCAGAAAACAGTGCCAAACATGTTATGGCTAGCTTCCCATGATTAGAGCATCCTGACATATTGCAGATCTAGGCTTTCCAGGGTGCGGAACCCAGGGGTGGCTCTTTGGTGGAACTGTAAATAGCAGTTAACTGTTTAATGGCATAATGTGAATTTTTATAGGTTCCTCTAATTCTACAACCAGATTGCTTTCTAAACACTTGAGATAAATCTTTCTTTCTTTTTTTTTTTTTTTGAGATAAATCTTCACTCACTCTCTGGAATTGTTCACCTCACAGGTTAGTTTCTCACTTTTGGTTTTCTCTGCTCTGCATCTCGCATGCTTCAAGATCTCTTGACCTACACACACACAAAAAATCTGTGACTGTCATTTTAAGAAGAATAGCTCCTCAAAAGAATGCTTGAAAAGTCAGGAAAGATAATGGAGTAACTCTTCCCCAACTACGAGCAGGGCGGTTTCGCTGGACGTTTTGATTTGATTTTGAGGTGACAACACAATCATGAACGTTTACAAGAAAACGTTTCATATATTAGAATTTCGGAACATGAATGCTACTCTCAGAAACATCCCCAGGGAGGCATAATAGTCTCATCTCGTGACTGAAAATTTCAAGTTTCAAGTTTCAAGTCAGAACCAGAAACACTTTGGGTAACAGAGCGAGCAAGACTGAGTACACAAGGAAAAGCACGCTCAGAAAGGCCATCAGCCTCACCAGGAATCAGGACTCTCCTCTTTGGCCTTTTGTTCTTCATTTGGAAAAACAAAGGGGCTGTATTCTTAGAGTCTTCCCAGTTCTAAAATCCAATGCTTCTCTATCCTGGACCACAGAATCATGCTCATTAACAGAAAAACTAAGCTAAACAGGAACAACAAAAGCAAAATAAAAACTTTTTCTACCTGAAAAAGCTTGAAAAATGTATAGCAAACATGACCCTTTCGTCCAAAGACCCAACCCGATCGATCCCTGTATATTCTTCCCCCACCTCCATAATTATTGAAATTTTTTTTAAAAAAAAGGTCTTTTAATGATTAAATGTTCCATTTAGTTTTGTAATCATTCCTTTCGTCACCCCTAAAGTATTGTCTCATTAACAGAAAATGGTGTCAGAAGCACTTTATTAATGGAAATTCCTTCTGTGAGCTTCCAAGTGAAACAAAAACATCATTAATATCAGCGATATAAAACAAATTAAAAAAACCCTGAAACAAAACAAATGAAACCACGTCTGTGTCCCCAGCACCGATCACACAGAATTGAAGCGAACCAAGCTGTTTTCACACATCACTTGGAGTGTAGATTTATTTGGATTTCAGAATCTCCTAAACAAATTACATCAACCTCACTCCATTTCCTTCCTGAATAAAAAGTATGACTGGACAAACATCAGACTTTTAAAATTCTAAAAGTAATAGAAAAGTAAAAATCGATTTCCTAGGGAAATCCCTCTCCTAAACCTTACATGGTTTTGCTGCTTCTGTGAAATCTTTCTCTTTGGAGTAACTTGGTAGCATAGTTTTTGTTTCGTTTTTAAACTGGATTCATACAAGGGCACTGAATTAGAACTTCAGCTGATGTATGGAGCATGAGCTTTGATGAACAATAAGTTACCTCTGCTCTAAAAGGAAATGTGAATGGAAGAATGCCAACACTGGAAGTTCGTTTCGTTATGTAACTCGAGTCTTAACATTAGACAGCGCACCCTCGTTTGAAAAGAAAACAACAGAATGGCATGAGCACTCTAAAATCATCTGCAGCACTTTTAAGGGTTAAACCTGCTTAACCCATTCTTAGAGAATGGCACCAGAGAGGACAGCTCACCCCTTAAGCGTGGCTAGTTCTAAACCTGTGGTTTCCTCGGGTTGCAGTCATGCACTCTATTTTCGCCCCCCTCCCACCCAGTTAATAGGATCCATTCATAGCTACTCACTACTGCAGGATTTGACCTGAGAAATGCTAGGATTTATTAACTCAGCAGTTGTTTGGAAAAGTCCTTAAATAATCTTTGCCCTTGGCCAGCAAGGGCACTGCTAGTCTCAAGTTCTCAGATGCAGCTGGTGAGGTTCTCGGCCAAGTTCTTCAGATGCAGAAATTTCTGCGGGACAACCTACGTTGACATGGCATTTACAAATCTTTAAACCCGGCTTCCTGGATCTAGGAAATGTTATTCCTGACTCCTTCGACCCAGATGCTGGCTAAAATTTAGTTTTTATAATCTGTAGGTAATCACTCATTCTTCCCTCCTTCCTTCTTTCTAGGAGCTGGCATGGTGGTTAAATTTTTCTAAAACAGTCATATTAATATGTTCAAAAATCCACTGCTGAGTCTCAGATAGAGGGTCACATCTGGCCATGAAAATCTTCTTCTCTGCGGGGTTGCAATCCATGCAGCTGTTGCTCACAGGATGGAATAATGTTCTGTCCTGGAGGGATCAGAAAGAAAAGAAAGGGCTGACATAATATATGGTGAATGGTTAGAACCCAAAATATACAGAGGAAGTAAAATATCCCTGTTTATATTTCAGTATATACCCATAGTGTGAAAACGAGACCATCTCCCAAATTAAACAATAGCAGTTTGGATAACCACATGGAGAACAGTGTCCCAGAGTCCACTGGCTGTATGTAGGGACTCCAAGCCGGTTCAATCAGAAACAAAGAATTCATTCCTTCACCCTCCATGTTAAAAAAGCAATCCATCCATTTCCTACTCTGTGGTAAGCATTTTGCTACATGCTTGGGTTTTAAAGATACTAAGTATTTGAGGCTGCTTGCCAAGGAGCTAATAATGTAGCTATTTGGGGAGAGGCACATATACAAAAATGGTAATTCTGTCCATAGCAAACAATGACAGCAGGTGCGTGCACACATACACACACACACAGAGAACAGAGGAGTCATCATTTTCCCTCCGCTTATGTTGAGCCTCTAATGGGAAAGAGAAATACAAAAAAAACAGGAACCAAATGAGCTAGGTGCTCAGCTGCCTTCTTTGGAAGATATGCGGGTGGAGATAGCTAATGCACAGGCCGTATCTCCATGTACAAACTCAAATCTCTTAGCTCTGAAGCTTCAGGATCTTCTCCAACCTCCCTTTCTGCCATTACAGCTCTTCCTGTGGTACAATTCTCACTGCTTTCTGTAAAAGGGAGGAAGGAGGCAGTATTCACTTATTTATTTATTTTTTTTATTTTATTTTATTATTATTTTATTTTTTTTTTAAGATTTTACTTATTTATTTGACACAGAGAGAGAGCACAAGCAGGGGGAGCGGGAGAGAGAGAAGCAGGCCTCCCGCTGAACAGGGAGCCCCATGCGGGGCTCCATCCCAGGACCCTGAGATCATGACCTGAGCCGAAGGCAGTCGCCCAACCAACTGAGCCACCCAGGTGCCCAGTATTCACTTTTTTAAAAGAAAGTTGCTAAGTACACAATAAAGCTAACAGCTCTGTGAGAGAAAGCTACTATCCGGTCACCAAGCTTAAGTGGTGAGCAAGCCCACTATCTGAATAAGATCTAACACACACCTCTTTTTTTTTTTTTTTTAAAGTAATCCCTATGCCCGGCATGGGTTTCAAACTCATGACCCTGAGATCAAGAGTCGCACACCCTTCCAATTGAGCCAACCAGGGGCCCCAACACACACCTCTTTTTATTGTTCAAGTAGGGAAAAGGAAGTTAATGTAAAGAGAAAAAAAATATCTTTCCTTAACTGGTAACAAAAACTTTTGTCTCTTACAGCGTCTATGCAAAAAAAAAAAAAATTGCCAAGAACATGTAAAAAGCGTTCTCAAATCATTGCTTGAATTTCGGGACCAAATACTACTTTTTTAGGAAATGTTCAGAGATTCTGATTATTTTCTTTAACTGAGGAATACTTGACTCACAATGCTTTTACAATGACAGAGTCTCTCAGGCAGCCTGTGTAAATATGCCTGGGTTGCTCCTGGATGTTAGGACTCCAACAACCAATATTTAATGTCCTTTTAGGATCCGGATGTTTGCACTGTTTGGCAGTGTGTGAAGGAAGAATAAGGAAGGAGAAAGGCAGCGCCTGCAATTTAGTGCTTGTTTCTGTTTAGTGTAAACAAAGAGCTCGCCTCATACAAAGGCTCACTCTTCTCTTGTTTTCTGAAGTTTCCTGGCTTTATTGTGGATTTTATTTTCTTTCCACAAAGAGGTGGCCTTCCCCTTTTCTCCACCTCGGGCTTTGCTACCTTGGCTGCTGTTTGACCCTGGGGGAAGCTCTGAGGAGCTCCCTCCTACTCTGGGTGCAGGGAGCAGAGTCTAGGAGGGAGGCAAGCATGCTCTGCAGCTCATCCCATGCATCTTTCTCTCTTGGGGTGAAACTTACACTTAGAGAACCTTCCTCACAGCTGCGGTGGTCCCTTGTCTGCGGTCTCTTTTGTGCTCACCCTCTTGCTTCCCAGCATCTCTCATGCTCAGTCTCCTGCCCCTAACTTCTACCAGTTTAGCTACACGGTATATTTAAATCACTTTTTCAAAGAGCATTCCTAAACTGTTCGATTGCTGAAAATTCTGAGTGACCTACTCAATTCTAATTCACTTTGTTCCACCTGTGTCTACTTCTTTTTCTCCCTTACTTATCTGTATTTTCTTCTGTTGTTCCCTTTGTCAGTAGCTCAAGTGGGGACCTTTTTATGTTCATAGTTTCTCCCCCAAAGCACATATTTCTATGAAAGTTAAAAAAAAATGAGAAAAGAAAGGAGTAGAACATGGTTCTATTCTCTTCCCTTCGCTAGCTTGTGTACTTTAGTATGGATGCAAAAACCAAACCGGATTTTCTGAACAGTATTTTCTGAGCTATAAGGTGATCATATTTCTCCCAACCTCAAATTGGAACACGGCGTCTGACAAATACAGGTATACACAGGGGGACAATCAGACAGGATATGCAAATTCAGCACCGTCCTGAAAAATCCAGAATATGTTTTCTGTTATTGTCCTTTGTGCTCTCATAGAAGTTGAAAAGTTAAATTCCCTTAATCTGTCTATGGCTGAGAAGCTTCATCAGTGAAATGAGACGGTGGATGAGATTAATCTGTAAGGCCATAAAATTGAATGAACCTTTTATTCCAAAGTTCACTGCTGACTGACAGAGACAAGTGACAGGGCATCAAACTAGAGACTATCAACAATACTCAATAGATTGACAGATTGATCATTCTCTGGTTATAGACTGAGCTCTGTTCACCCTTGTCTTTGGGGGTGTCCACCAGGTCCTACAGGTGAAGCTTCTGGAGGCTCTGTCAGCCTCCCCAGACCTTTGGAATAGACTTCTGTGTGCTTTGGCAAGTCCGCTGTTCCATACCTATCCTCTGTATTTTTTTTTTTATATTTTATTTATTTATTTGAGAGAGAGAGAGTGAGAGAGAGCACGAGCAGGAAGGAGAGGGAGAAGCAGACTCGCCGCTGAGCAGGGAGCCCAATGCAGGACTCGATCCCAGGACCCTGGGATCATGACCTGAGCCGAAGGCAGATGCTTAACTGCCTGAGCCACCCAGGCGCCCCACTACCAGTCCTTAAGAAGTGCTTTTGACTGACTACTCCGGCTGCTCACAGTGTAATAGGACAAACTGTACCTCTCCTGTCTCCTCTACCGCTCCCACCTTCCTGGCCTGCTTCCTCCCTTGTTCCTGTTTTGGTTTTGCCTAAGAAAATGAGAAATCCTTGAGCAGGAAATGAAAAAGTTCAGATCCAGGACTGTGGCACTGCCCTTCCCAATCCAGTCGGGTCAGACCCAAAGCTCAGTTCCAACCAGGGAGCCCATGCTGTGAAGGGACACCTTCCCGAAGCTGGCCTGCGGTTTGGTTAGCATCAGTGTGACATTCGTGGACCGGCACTAAATTCAATTATATTCCATACTTCTACAGGGTCTGAGCTTTGAAGGCCTGAATAAGTTGTAGAAAGCATTCCACGCTGTGTGCAAGGCAATAAAAGAACAAACACCACAGATGCAAAGACAATGAAATAAGTGTGTGAGTTCACAATGTGTAGAAAGATGACTCTAAGGATAGAATTCGCACACGGGGGGAGGGAAGGCAACCTATACTGTGTCAAGGGCTGGGATTTTGCTCTGCAGGGGCTTTGGATCAAGTTCCAGTCATGCCACGTCCTTGTTGTGTGACCTTGGGCGGTATTTAATTCTCTGAACTCCAGCTTCCTCATCTGTAAAATGTAGATAATAATATATCCTGCATGAGTTTGTTGTGAGGATAAAATGAGTTAATATATGTAAAATCGCTGGCACAATGTCCTACATATAATAAGTGCTTCCACTCTGCATCTTCCCTTAATTTATTTTTAGTCAGGGAGCATCCCCAATTCTAAAAATCAGAACGTACAAACCATCTGGTCCGAGACCAGCTATTCAAGACCAAATTGCATTCTCTGAAATCCTGGCAAAATAGAATTTGCAAAAATCAGCTCCTGCCTCAACCAGTTATCCAAATTGATATACCCTAACTTCCGTTTTAAGCAAAAGGATTTGCGGAACAAAGGTGATACATGGCTCGGGAATGAGTTCTTCTATATAATCATGGTCAGAGTTTGTATATGATTCATGTGCTGCAGTCCTTTGCCTGAAATACAACACGATTCAGGTCAGAGTTCAATAAATGTTTTTTGAAGGCCTTTCATTTTCTGGTATGTATTAGGAGATTGGCCTAAAAAGATAAGCTGAGATGCAGCTCCTGACCCAAGAAGTGGGGCAGACCAAGAGGTAAACAAGAAATGGATGAAGTAAAAAAGTGCCAATGAGACTGTGGATGAAGGGGAATAATATGTAAGATACATATTTCAGCGGCGCCTGGGTGGCTCAGTCATTAAGCGTCTGCCTTTGGCTTGGGTTATGATCCCAGGGTCCTGGGATCGAGCCCCGCATTGGGCTCCCTGCTCTGCGGGGAGCCTGCTTCTCCCTCTCCCACTGCCCCCGCTTGTGTTCCCTCTCTCGCTGTGTCTCTCTCTGTCAAATAAATAAATAAAATCTTAAAACAAAAATACATATTTCAGATGTAGAGAGGAACATGGGAAAGGAGAGAAGTGATAGCGTGTGCATTCATGCATTCAATTTATTCAACAAAAATTTATTGGGGACCTACTATTTATTAAGTGCTGTTTTAGGTGGCTAGGATATTTCAGTGAACTTCACAAGACAAAACCCCCCACCCTCTTAGAACTTACATACTAGAGGCAGGGTGGGGGTGAGGCAATGGGACACAGACAATAAACAATGGATATATATATATATATATATATATATATATATATATATATAGCCAGTGTGCAAATTTAAATTGGGCAGCAAGGGTACACCTCATTGAGAAGGTGACATATGGGTAGTCTTGAAGAAGGTGAAGGAATTAGCCGTGCCAATATCTGGGGGGAAGAGAGTTCTAGAAAG